TAAATAAATAAATAAATAAATAAATAAAATCTTTTTAAAAGCCCAAAAAACTAAAGAAATTGAAGTTTGGAGAAATTTGTTAATTTGGCCTGTGTTACAAAATAGTAAATGGCAGAGCTGGAACTTGAACCCTGATTCTAAAGAACATGATTTTCTCTAAGGTAGCTTATTAAAGGCATATATATGTAGAGTGATACACATACACACGTGGACTGATAGAATAAAATCAAAAAATCAAAGTCAAAGAAAAATGGAGAATAATTACACTAAATATTTAGGGTCATAGTTTTACTATCAGTGCATGTAAAACTTAGCTCTAAACTTCCTGTCAAGAGAAATGATTACTAAATGCACACTGAACACAGATGATTGTTGCATTGCCCCTTTAAATATTAACTATACCTAATATTGCTTTAACAAAGGATTTTTCGACATTAACAGTAACTCTTAAGCACAAGAAACACATCACCATTAAGGCAAGGAATATATTTAAAAATGGGGTGTGCTACTACATAAAACTCTGCAGTGTGTTTTTCACTTAACAAAATGATGGACCTATTTCCAGGCCCATACACAGAGCTCTACGTGGTTACTAAATGCACATTAAACACTAATCATTTTTGCCCCAAAAATAAAATCACATGGTCTCCATATAGTTAATCAGACACCTCTCCAAATAAAATTATACAGACATATAAATGACTGCATTTGAAATGTGCAGATAGAGGTGAAGGTTAAGGAACTTTCTTCATACACTCTGCTTATGGGAATCTGAACTGCCACATTTTTGGGAAGTAAACAATATATTTTAAAATCTTAAAGATAATCCAAATCACCCTTTGACCAAGAAGTAGCCCAAAGATACAAAATCTTTAATCCGTAACGTTACAGGTCCAAGTGCATCTAATATAGCATTTTTACAGCAGAAACAAAATAAAAAACAAAAAATAAAAACAAAAAAAACCAAAAAAACCCACAAAAAAACAAAAAACCAAAACTGGAAAACAACTGACCTATACTATCAACAGGGAAATGACTGAATAAAGTACATCTGTATTATGAAATAATATGCATCTAGTTTAAAACCATTTAGATATAGATGTATTAACCTGAAAATATATCCATGATTTTAAGTGAAAAAAAGCTGACAGAATTTTATGCGATAGCTTCTCCCATTTTTAAATACATACATACATATACACGCTCTCTCTCTCAAACCTGTATACAGATAATATGGAAGGAGACACACCAAATTGTGAAAAATGAATACATGGACTGAGAGCAGAAAAAGGATAGGAAAAAAATTATTGACTTTCTTTATATAACCCTGCACTAACAGTGTAAGCATATACTATATTCACTGCTAATTTTCTACAGTATTCAAAGTAGAGAAAGTAAAGAACTTTGAAATATCTTTAAAGCATTTTTATATATAATTCTAATACAAAACAATTAAGAAAAACAAAAACAAGCAGCGCCTGGGTGGCTCAGTCGGTTAAGCAGCTGACTCTGGATTTCGGCTCAGGTCATGATCTCAGGGTCCTGGGATGGAGCCCCACGCGGGGCTCCACGCTCAATAGGGAATCTGCTTGAGGATTCTCTCTCCCTCTCCCTCTGGCCCTCCCCCAGCTTGCGCGTGCACGCTCTCTCTCTCTCTACAATAAAATATCAAAAAAAAGAATAAAAAAAAAAAACCCCAAAATTCCCATTCATAATACTTCCAACATTACTTCCACATTTACAATACCATGGGGAACATCATATGAAGTCAATCGTATGATCAGCCTGAAAAAACACTCCAATAATTGACAGTATTTTTTTCCCTTTTTTTTCAATAGCTTGGCTTTTTACTGTGTTAACTTCTGCACTATGTCTGACTAATCCTTTCGCAACTGTTTTACAGCTGTTTTACTCTACTCCTTAGGATATATGATGTTACCATGTAATTTTTACGTAACTTATTCTAGACAATACAAGACAAAAACAACCCACAAAATATTCCAGGTGATTTAAAATCTGATCTTCATTGTTAAAATTAGTAAGCTTGGTTTTGTTTTTGTTACATACAAGACATTTTGTTATAAACACCACAATCAAGATAGACTGCTTCTGTGATTCCAACACAAAAATATTTGTTGAGCATTTACTAAGCACAAAGCCTTGGGTTAGGCTTTGACAATATAGTAATGATCAAAAAAAAAAAAACCAAAAAACATTGTTCCTGTCTTCATGAAACTTAAAAACAGAAACAGTTTGATTTGCTTACAAGCTCTCTAATGTGGATTGCTACTTGATTTGTCAGTCAAGTGGACACAAAACTTGGGTAGTTATTCTAAAAATATAATCTAATCAAATGAGTGGTCAATTTCCTTTCCTCAGCAGTAATGCAACCTCTGAAAAGACCCAACCATTTCTGACACCCCCTTTAAAAAACTCACTTTTGACAAGACATTTAATGTCACATTTTTACATAATAATATAAGAAAAAGAAATGGATTCCTTCCTGTGTCAAAAAAAACCCACAAAATTTCCCAGTTATGATGGTATGCTATGAAGAAGTACTCCAATATTTGACCTCTGTTCATAGAATGAAAATACTTAAAGGAAAAAAACAAAACACCAAAACCCTGTACTTACCCCTAGAATTAAAAGGATTAGTATTAGCAAAAATTTTACTGATGAAATATCATGTCTGAAATTTGCTTTAAAATAATTTGGTGGAGAGGGTATAGGTGTATATAGATAAACAAGACTGATCACTGTTGACACTGGCTGATGAGTATGTGAAGGCTCATTTTACCACATATATTTTGTATATGTTTAAAACTATCTAGAACATAAAATTTTTTTAAAAGTACAGTATCTTTGATACCTCTATTTGTACACTGCTGTCTCCAACCATGCCTGGCATTTTTAACCACACAAAAACGTTTCAAGCTTTAAAAAGAAAGAAAGAAACAAACATCTCTCAGTAGTCCTATCTTAACATATTTGCCTTAACCAAAAGCTTACTCTAATAGTACAAAATCTTACTAAGATTATGCAAAGATATTTAATACTGATAAAGATTAGTTTTAAGAACACTCCAAATTCTGTTGCACAGTTGAAGTATGCCACAATACAGTTTAACATGGAATACAAAAAGCAAAAGCTTTTTAAAATGTAGCTTTAATTTCAAGGAATTTTTAGGTTATTAGAATCTAAAGGAGTCTTACATCTTTACAATAACTGACATTTACTGAGCGCCTGATATATGCCAGCTACTTTATAAACAATCTCTAATCGCAGAAACTCATTTTACAGGTAAGGAAACCAACTCAGACAGTTGATATATCCGCAGTCATACACTAACTACACCAAAGGGGAAAAGATTAATAAAGCCCAGGTCTAACTGTACAACTCTCTGAAGCCATGCTCCTCTCTTTATTCAACAAATATTAAACATCCACTACATGCCTGGCACTGTTACAGACAATGAGGCACTTAACTATATGCTAAGCAACGTGTTAAGGGTGTTTTAATCCCGTTTAATCCTGAAAACAACTCTAAAATGTAGGTACAATCATTCCCTGTATAGATAAGGTCACTGACTCTGAGAGGCTAAGTAACTTGCTTAAGGTCACTCAACTAGAAAGTGGCAGTATTGGAGTAGGATCCCTCCAAAACTCTAACCACTACATGCCTCAAGGCATGAACAAATAAAAGGACCCAAGCAGAACTCTGAGGAAAAATTTAGTAAAGTGCTGAGGGAAGAGGGAGTGGGAGCTGGATCACTGCAAGGTCAAGTCTGTCTTCAATAACCACATCTAAATAAAAGACAATTGTGACAGTAAACTTTACAAGGGTTCAAGTGGGCTCTGACACTTGTGTGGGACCAGCAGAAAAGCACATGCCTCCTGGGAACCCCAGTTTCTTCTTCCAATATAAAATGAAAATCTTGCCATCTGGGGTTGTGAGAAGGAGGACTGGGCAGTGGAGCAGCTGACACTACAGACTTTCAGTTATAAAGGAGTCGTCAGTCGTCATCCAATGCAAACATAGGAAAAGAATTAAGCCGTAGGTGCATTTTAAATGGTCACGCCTGTAACACCAGCCTAACTTGAGTGTAGTAGAGAAACACCGGGCAAGTGTGGGGAGAAGCCAGTATGTCGGTACCATCATGAACCAGTCACATCACAACTTCAAGCCTCAGTTTCCTCACTTGTGAAATGGAGATAACTTTACTTATCACCAAGGGCTACGCGAAGCAAGAAAAACCGGTGGGAGGACAGCTAAATCTGCGCCTGGCTCACAGTAAGATGCAAACCATCAAAACAAACGCTTGTTTTGCCTTCTTTCCTTAAATTCTAGAAATGCCAAAAAACTTTCTGTCTTCTTCCCTGCTTCTACGTGCTACCTAAGCTCGACGCCTTATAGGATGTCACAGGCCTTGTAGGGCCTCGCCCACACCAGAACCTCGCCAGCACAGACCCTTTGCCCAACCCAAGTCCACAGTCTACCCACAGCGACAAGGACACCGGAGCTCCTCCAAGATGCCGGCGAGGCTGCGAGGTGCTGCCTTTTGTACTCCGGGCAGACGCGGCCTACGGGACGGGGAGTGCCACGTCTGGGCTCGTGGGCTGCGAGGAGGCGCGCCGCGCGTGGCCAAATACCGCGGGGGTGGTCTGCAGCCGCCAGAAAGGCAGCGAGGAGAGGGGCCTGCGGGAGGCGCGTGTCTGCCCAGTCCGGCCGAGGAGGCGGGGAAGGCGAGACCGAACACACCCTTCCCCGCACGCCCCGCAGCTCTCGGCTGGGCGGACGCAGCGCGGGGACACCCCCGCCCCCGCACCGGAGTCCCGTCAGGCCGGGGGCCGCGGCGCCCACAGCCGACCCGGGGCTCGCCGCGGCCTGGCCGGGCCTGCCCTGTGGCGCCACCCGCCCGCCGCCCAGCTCGCCGTCGTCCGCACCCCGGCCCCCGGAGAGCCGGGCGAGAAGGCCTCGGCCGGACTGACACTGCGGAGGGCCCGGCTTACCTGGGGGGTTGCTGGTGGCTGGGCAGCTTTCCGGGCGGGAGGGGGGCGTCAGGACGAGGAAGAGGAGTGAGGGCGCAGCGGGAAAAGGGCGGGGGCGGTCGGCCGAGGCCCCGGCAGGTAGCGGGCTGGCCGAGGAGGTGCAGACGCGCTGGCGGTAGTAGCGGTGGCAGCGGCGACTGCTCCCGCGGCTCCCTCAGGATCTTCCTCGGGCAGGTCCAAGATGGCGGCGCTCCCTGCACAGGGTTTCCTGTCACCCTCGCAATGGGCCGGACCACAAAAGAAGCGGGGGGAGGAGAATGCGCGCGCAGCTAGCGGAGCCCGGAAGAGGGTGGCCGGGCCCCGGCCTGCTAGCCACGCCCCTTCCTCAGCCCTTCCTTCTGGACTAGTCGCGCCGCCGCCGAGGCCCGCCCCACTGGCCGTGGAGCCTGAAGGGGCGGAGAAGAGCGCCTATGCGCAAGCGCAGTCGAGTGCGCTCGCGTCTTAGGGAAGTTACTGCGCAGGTTCGCGTGGAACCTGCTGAAGTACAACTGGGTCTCGAAGGGCTAGGCTTGTTACTTTGTGGACTTTTTACTCTGGTTTCTCTTCAGATTGCATAAATCTTTCACCTTTTTACTATTTTTAATGCCAGCAAGTACTACTTACTGGACGCTTGTGCTACACTGGCCACAATGCTAAGCAACACATTTACTGCGTTCACTCAACAAGTATATATTGAGCGATTCGTACATAGCAGTGAACAAGGCACACGAGGTCCCTGTCCAACAACCCCAGGAGGTACTTATCCCCATTTTATCAATGGCGAAACTGAGGCTCATGTTGATCAAGTCACTGGTCCTAGATCATGCAGCTAGAACGTGGCACTTTCAGTGTTTCATCTCTGTCCTTTATAACCTCTCTTTGATGGGAGGAGAAAAATTGTGACCACATTTTTCACAATTTAACCACCTCCCACCACCCCTCCGCTCTTCCAACTTGGTCTGCTATTATCTTCCCAGAAAGTTGAGCGCACCTCAGCACAAGGCCGCTTTGACTTTCGTGGAACCTCGACACTTTGGCCTTGTGTTTGTGGAGATATACACACACGTGCACACACACACATACACACACACACATAAATATATTTATATAGTTCATATTTTACAACTAAATTGGTATAGAGATGAATATGTTAATGTTATACAGCAAAACATTTTCTTCAACCTAAAAGTTCATCTTTCTTTTCAGACTTCAAAAGCACTTAAAACATTTTTGTGGGTCCCTAAAAGTATTGTGGGCCCCAGGCACTGTGCTTCCGCCTAATGGATAAGACTGCCCTCCCTCAGGCCACCAAAATGAAGTTCAGGCTCTTTCTCTCTTGGCATTGAAGAGCCTTCATAAACTAGCTTTGCCTTAGGTAAGTGAGATTTCCTCGAAAAGTGTATGGCAGTTTACAAATCTCTTATTTTCAGAAAGATCTGGGTGTGAATCCCTGATCTTCAACTTACTAATGATTCACCATTGGGCATGTCACTTGATTCCTCAGATCCACAGTCATTTCTGCAAAACAAGGATAATGATACCTATCTCAGGTGGGTCCTGTGAAAATTAAATGAGATAATATATACAAAATGCTTGACATATAAGTTTTTAATACATGGGAATGGCTATTACATGATAATCCAATATAAGGTTATGTTGAAATCCCTTCTAGCCCTATAGGTCTATGCTTCTATTCCTATATTGTTTAATTCCGATAAGTATAGTTTGTGGTCATAATTTAACATCTCTGAAATCAAGAAATTTGCCTGTGCCAAGTAAAGAAGAAAGCTGTGAAACAATTGCCATTACTTGTCCAGCTGTGAACTTAGGTCTGGCTAGAAAGTTTCTGTATGTCCAATTGTCGCCTGAATTGAAACCTAGCTAATGCTTATTGAACACCTACTCTGAAACAGGAACTGACCTAAGAATCATGTATACTTTCTTATTTAATACCTACAACACCCCCACGAAGTCAGTGCTATATTTGCCCATTTTATGAATGAGAAAACTGAGTGTCATCTGGGCAAAGACTTTATAAAAGACATAAAAATTGGCAGTGCTGGGACTTGAATTCAGGCACATGTGACTTCAGAACACCCATTCCTAAGCACCATTCTAGACTTCATCCCTTATGTCCACTTGTAGCAGCTTAGGTGTAGATCCCTGGTTGTTACTTAAGTCTCTGTGGAAGACATTACCTTGGATGCAGCACTGAAGAGAAACGTTGTGAATACAATGTGCCTATTACATGCCAAGCAATACAGTTGAAGACTATAGAAATTGTCATTTCTTGTAATAAGTCACAGAATTTTCAAAGGAGGGATTGTGACCAATTGCAGCATAATTAGAACTGTTCATTGGATGCCTATCAGGGTTTCTAGTTAACTTTTTTTTTAAGGCTGCTTATATGAAAAGAGACGTATACACAAAATATTGAGTGCAGCACTGTTTGTAAAAGACTAGAGACAAACTATCACTAGAGAACTGTTGTAATACATTTTAATACATCCATACTGTGGAATGTGTGCAGCAATTAAAGACTGAGGCACATGAGTGTGTCCTGATATGGAACAATCTCTGAGAAATACTTCAAGTGAAAACAAGGAGAAAAGTAAATAGTATGCCAACATCTGTTAAACTATGTAAGGAGGTGGGGGGGAAATATATATATTTGTGTAAATGGACATTGAGAGGGATTTTTCCTACTGTCCTGAAACTGCTGCTGAGGCCCAACTCTGAAAACCAAAAAGTTCATAAGGAACCCACTACCAGTGACTGGAACTAGCTATCTCCCAGGAGAACATTTGAGGAGCCATTGTTCGAGAAACCAGCCCTTCCACCAACCCCTGCCTCCACTCTACTACTCCCCACGCATTCTCCATTCCCACCCCCTCTCTCCACAGACAAACCATCACCACTAATCAGTGGAAAGAATGAAGAGTTGAGAGGGAAGTCAGGCTTTAGGAAAGAACAATGTCCTAGAAAGAGACTCATCCCTTCTTCTCCCTCCATGGGGGATTGTATCACTTCCTAGAGGCAAGGGAGGAAGGCTCCAGGAGAATCACTAGTGAAGATTGGGAGTGCCTAGAGAAAGAGGAGACTGGCAACCCCCCAGATATCTGTTTGGGCATTGGACTAACTGATCAGCTCTGCCGCATTGTATCCTTGGCAAAGGAAAACACAAGAGAGAGACCACATGGCAGGGGGCTTTGGATGGCATGGTGGAGGGCTTTAGATGGGGAGGGACTGAAACTGCCTCACCAACCCATACATACCTTGCTCTCTCAGTCCTAGACTGGAGTGCAGCAAAGAGATGTTCATCATCGTGATATGGCATAAATGACACAAGCTGGCAGTCAGCTGGAAGATAAAGCAAACTGGTGAGGTGTCACCCCTTCCTAGGGAGATGAATGGGATCACTCCAGGTACTACTGCTTTGTCATATCTACTCATTCTTGTTACATTTTTACCTGTTTATATATTTATAATTTCTTTTGTAAAAATAGGTGTTTTCTTATTCTTTATCTTTTTCCAAAGGCTAAACATTTGAAGTTACTTTCAGATCTATCTATTGTGTTTATTTAATAATAATCTCCTTATTTAATAATAATCGACTTAAAGCCTTCATTTCATTGGTTAATTTTGTTCATTTATTTTGGATTTTTCATTCATAGTCGTATCTTGGATTATAGATTTTTTTTCCCTCTCTCTCTGTCTCTCTCTACGCTTACCCCCTTTTTGTCTAGTGGTTTTGGAGTTGCCACCATTCCAGAACCAGATATTAAGATCTTGGTATTCCAATTCCTGGGTAATATTGAAGATACAGCAAAACCAATACAATTTATACTCTGAATTTTATTACCATGTACATGTGCTACCTAACTGAAAAGCCTAATGTATTTTTAAGTTTAGTTGGTTACTCTCCAGTGATACATAATTCAATTAAGTAAAAACAAACAATAAAAAAAAGCTACTACATCAACCAAAAAGAAAAAAAGAGCAATTGATGAACTTCAAAATTTAGCAGATTGACAGAGAAGTAAAAATCAAGTGCATAAGACTCTTTAGTCTCTGGATAGGAGAAAGGATTAGATGCAAATTCATGATACAAAAGAAGAATGATGCATAAATGTATACGTATAAATGATACGTATGCGTTCTACTCAATTGTAAAAGAAATATTGTGACCATTTAAATAGTCCCCCCTCCGACATACCCCTCCACCTTATACCAATCCCCCCAAAACATAATCCTTTGGCATCATAGCTTATTAGGGCATAATTTCTAAAGTTAACAACAACAGCAACAACAATAAAATTATATAAGGTGAAAAGTATACTTAAAATTTTTCAGGAAAGCTCTGCACTAGAGACTGATTTATCATCTCTTATTTTTCCTCTAGTGTCAGATCTGATAGCCATCTCTTTGGCTGACCACCTGAAGAAGTGGTTGGTTTGGATTTAGAGGCCATGTTACATGAAAAAAATGTGCATCTTTGAACTTTAGAATCACACTCACTATGGCCAAATGAGCACGCCGTGAGATCTACACGAAAACTGAGATCTACTAATAAAATAACAGATTCAGCTCTTTTATCACATACAGAGTAGTATTTAAATTTTCTTTATTGCTCTGTTGACCTTTACATTTAGTTGAAATAATGTGAGTTAAAAGCATGCGTGATGTGACACAAGTGTATCAAACTGATGGTGACTGTCACCATGACACAAATTTGGCAGGTGCTGTCAAGAACTGGGATTTTACCGTAGTTGCAAGCTGAAAATTTAACCTAATGCAGTTTCATGGACAGAAGCAGAAGACATGAAACTTCTGGGTCAGAGATAAAGGACTATATTCTCCACAACACAGCATGCAGCATGAACGTTAACACTTTTGCATCCGTTCTTGGCTGTCTGAACACACAATGTGTTACAGTAAAGGAACTCTGAGCTTAAGGAAACCAAATCTTTCATAGTGGAGAGTAAGCATTTCTGCCCTTTGCTCTGGAGGGAAACTATCTCTGTCTTCGAAGGCTGTTTGCTAAACAAACATCCTTGAAAAAATAGTCTGGGTTAAACGACAGTCGGTGCCTCTGCTCACAAGATGTGCAGAAACAGAAGAGACCCATGGAGGGTTGTCTTCCAACAGGGGCAAGATTTCGTTGTGTTGTACTACATTTGGTGAGTTAGTGAGGGGTATGCCGTAGATGAAAGAAGATGGTTTTGAGGACCACAGTGACTTTAGCTCCTATTTCTAGCAAACATTTTATCAGCTATGTGATCTTAGTCAAATTACTTAACTTCTCTGAGCTTCAACTACATAATGGAATAATAAATGTATCCCAATGGAATTGTTGTTCAGATCAACTGAGAAAGTATAGCTGAAAGTGTCAGGCACAGTATCTGGAATACCCTAAGCATTCAACAA